AACATTCATCAAAGACTATGCCAAGATAGCAGCACCCCTTAACCGGCTTACGGACAAGAAGCGGTATGTGTGGGGACAACAGCAGCAAGACGCCTTTGACAGTTTGAAATTGTCACTTATAACTACTCCAGTTCTAGCATTACCAAACTCTAAGGATTTATTCATCCTAGACACAGACGCGTCAGACTTTGCAATAGGTGCAGAACTCATACAGGTGCAGGAGGATAAAGAGCGCGTTATTGCGTATGGCAGTTTTAGTCTCACCCCAGAGCAACAGCGCTATTGTACAACAAGAAAGGAGTTACTTGCGATTGTCCGTTTCACCAAACAATTCAATCATTATCTGTTGGGCAGAGAATTTGTTGTTAGGACTGACCATAGCAGCCTTACCTGGCTCCTCAATTTTAAAAACCCACAAGGTCAGTTAGCCAGATGGCTTCAAGTCTTAAGTCAATACAATATGACTGTTATTCACAGACCTGGCAAGAAGCACGGGAATGCGGACCCGCTTTCCCGTATCCCTGACAACAAGCCATGTCCTGATATGAAGGTGGATATAGACCCAACCCAACTACCCTGTGGAGGATGCAAGTATTGTACTAGAGCACATAAAAACTGGGGAAAATTCACTGAAGATGTGGATGATGTCGTTCCCCTGGGTAGGACAGTAGAAACAACTGAAGTGCATGCTGCTTTGTCCTGGTTATTTAACGAGAAGGAATCCGACGACATGGAATTGGTTTTTCAAGAGTCAAGCTCAGACTTGCATCATACATCGTTGGAAATTTCCTTTACAGACCCAGATAAACCTACTCTCATTAGTATGGAAGAACAACAGTGTAATCAAGTCCGCACTGCTTCCCGTACTAGTGGGTTTGCAGGCATTGAATATTCACCCGAAGAACTGAAAGAGTTTCAGGAAAAAGATTCTGATCTTAGATTGATACTTCCTTATCTGGTGTCAAATGAAACCCCATCTGAAGATGAAATTTTTATAAGCAGCAAGGCAGCAAAGAAATACTGGGTTAATAAAGAGATGTTTTTCATTGATGGTGAGGGAATACTGCGCAACCACCCAAAGAATGGTGGAGAACCAAGACTTGTGGTGCCAAAAACCTTGGTAGATGAAGTACTAGGACTATGTCATGACTTACATCAAGGTGTGTCAAGAACATATTTACGAGTGAAAGAGAAGTTCTATTGGTATAGCATGAATCAGTCAACCAGAGATTTTGTAAGGACATGTGACATTAGCAGTAAACACAAAAAGGCCAACAGAAAAGCAAAGTGTCCCATGACAAAATACCAAGCTGGAGTACCAATGGAGAGAGTTCACCTTGATTTCTTGGGTCCTTTACCCGAATCTACCTCAGGCAGCTCGAACATTTTAGTCATGGTGGACCAGTTTACCAAATGGGTGGAATGTGTCCCATTACCATCACAAACAGCTGAAGTCACAGCTTGAGCTGCCTTAAATGAATTTTTTGCTCGATTTGGTTTTCCCTTCAACATATTCACTGACCAAGGGAGAAACTTTGAGAGCAGACTCTTCAAGACCATTTGTGACATACTTCAGATTCATAAGAGTCGTACAACGCCGTATCGCCCTTCAGGAAATGGGCAGGTCGAGAGATTTAATAGGACACTTATGGATGCTGTACGCTGTTTTGTTGACAAGTCACAAAATAATTGGGGATGAACATTTACCTCAGCTTGCAAGTGCTATTAGATCATCCGTAAACAGACACACTGGTTTCACACCAAACAAACTTATGTCAGGCCGAGAAGTGAGCATACCCGCTGACCCAGTTTTTCGACCACCTGAAACTATTGCATCCAGTGACCATGAGGATTATGTGTCAAGATTACAAGAGTCTATAAGAACAGCTCATGAGGTGGCCAGAGATGTATTGAAGACGCATCAAGTTCATATGAAAAGAGATTATGATGTCAAGATACATACCAGAGAATATGCAGTTGGTGATCTCATCTATGTGTTGGATAGCGCCAAAACTAAAGGTCGTTCTAAGAAACTAGATCCACCCTGGAAGGGACCTGGCATTGTTGTTCAGAAAATATCTTCATACCTCTACAAGGTTAAACTTCAGAATACAGTCTTTTTGTATATGTGACAAACCTGATGACGGACGTCTTATGATACAGTGTGACACGTGTGATAATTGGTATCATGGAGCATGCATCGCAATCACTCAAGAGGTAGCAGATACCTTGAAGACGTATATATGTCCAAGGTGTCAAGTATAATATGTCTTGTACCTTTTACTAATGTTATGTTTGTGTTCAATTTTATTTTAGGTACAATGGAAGAATCTGACAGAGAGTATATCACGGCAGATGAAGCCGACATCTCTGATTCTGACGAGTACCTCACAGATGAGTACTGCCATCAAGAAACAGACGAAGAGTCGTCTGATGTTGAAGAGGGCCTACCACCCTTTAAGCGGCGACGGACAGGTGATGCGCCGACACAAGAACTTTCACCAGATTTGGAACCTGCCAAGGAACAGACCCAGGAGCCGGGACCGTCCACACAAAGACAGATACCTAATGTACGGGATAAACGATCAGCATGCCCTGTTCCTGGATGTCATTATCGCTCTAAGCACCTCAAGCATCATGCTTGGGAGTATCATCTTCCTAGGTTGTTCTGGGATCGCCCCTGGAACTCTTTGGCAGCGCTGCCGGAATATCACACTTTGAGAGCATCGTGTTTAAATGTGTTAGGTCAGTACGTCTTGGGACCAACTGCGACAATCGACGAGTTAGTGGTGCACGTCAATGAAGAAATCCCACTGCCCCGAGAATACCCAATTATGGGTAGGACATTTGTCCAGATGGGTCAGCTGACCCGTACGATGCGGTGGCCCTTGATGAACCGCTTCACTATGAGTCCAGTAAACAGCCCAGCGGTATTACTTCACTGGAGAATTCTTATGTCCCTAGTTTGTAACTAGAGACGTGCATACAAGAGGTGGGGGAGAAAGGAGCTCGCTGAGCTCGAAGAAAGGTCAGAACCAGAAGGTCACATGGAGTCGGAGAACCACAGGAGCCCAACAGACGTGTTGAAGAACATGATGAGATCGAGTGGGAAGTTCTGGATGAATGCGGTAGTGAAGAAGATGTAGCAGATAAAAACAGCGATGGAGATAGCAGTAGCGAGGAAGAGGACACCCCTTATGAAGTTATTGTCCTCCAAGCAGGTTACGAGGAAAACTTCCCAAGCCTAGGAAAACGGAAAATGGGAAGTAGTATTACTCTATTAAAAGGATCGATGAACATCATAGTCGACACGGGAAATCCTTCAGATAGACAATACTTACTATCCCGCCTCAGTGAACAGGGTTTGGCAGTTGAGGACATAGAATGCTGCGTGACGACTCATTGTCACTTAGACCACATGGGAAACTTGAATGTTTTCCCCAATGCCTACCATGTTGCAGCTTCTCAGATGTGTGTTGGTGATCTACACCACTTCCATGACTTCAAGTTGTCATTCTGGATCGATGATCAGAGAGAAGTCGTACACACACCAGGACATACGTCAGAAGACATCTCCGTGCTAGTCCATGCATCCCAGATGGGAACAGTAGCTGTCGTTGGCGATCTTTTCCACAGGAAGATGCATCAATTTGGAGGAAGTACAGTAGGAACGGGAACGACCAGGACAAGAATAGGAGAAGATCCTTGAGGTAGCAGAATACATTGTCCCCGGCCATTGTCCGATGTTTCGAGTTCCGGGACGAGAGTGGAACATCATATAAACTATGTTGTTCTATATTGTAATAGATAATTGAATCCTGATATTGTTCATTTTAGTTATAGTTGTAAGTATATGCAAGAGATGCGGCAGGATTCATTATGTCTAATAAGTGTTAGAATTTGTGATGATTCTTTTGTATCATTCGTCATTCATAAATTGCCATATAATTGTTCTATATTGATTTCATATCTAAACTTTTTTAGCCTGTGTATGTGCTATTATTATATGTAGTTTGAGTGATTGGATGGAAAGTCTCATTATCAATCATTTTTTTTAGTTATATTCATACTGTTGATACAATGGTAATATTTATCATTGAGATCTCATAGTGAATTTAGAAATAATTTGTATCTGGATTCAGCATGGTTTATTGTATGTGAACTCAGGTAAAATGATTTAGAGACTGTATGTTGTGAACATTATCTGAATTATATGTAATACCACTGCTGATATTCAGTTTATCTGCTTCTCTATATTATAGAATCTTTAAGAATCACTGTTTATTTTCACAATCATATAAGTGTTTGGTTGATATTTACATAAGGTACAGGAGTACCTCCCTCTTTTTCAAAAGGGAGGGGAGTGTAGTGTGGTATGAGTGTGTTCAGGTACGAGTTAACTTGACACCGTGTGTGATGCGCATGAGCGAGGAAGTTGTCGTCTGGTCTGAGTGCCAATCGCATCATCTCGGGTCTTTCCGTCAGAGGTCGGAAAGCAACCTCGAATGTATTATCTTCACCGGATGTTAAAAATTTATACATCTTCCTGTTTATTCAAATATAGGATAGACGGATTTTGAAGTCCCTTCTATAGTATATTCGAAGTAATATCATTGCATTGTATGAAGTTAAACTCCATATTCCACAGATGAAAGGTCTCTATACATTTATTTCAAAGATCGTGAAAAGGGGGAGTTGTAATGGCGTCTTCATAGTACATTCGAGGTCGTTTTTCCGCTAGTCGGAAAGGCCCGAGAAGTTGCGATTGGTCTGAGTGCATGGTGGTGTGTGGATTCTGATTTGCAGGAAAGATTGCACATTTGGTTATAATATTGTAAGTCTTGTGTGATTAATACTGAATACAACTATAAACGATTACCAGCGTTGTCAGTTTTTACATACAATACTTCACTACATATTGACATTAACGTTTTTTTAAAAATCTTAAGTTCTTCAATAGACCGGGATGAAAAAATGGTTATTTTATTCCTGATAATTACCTTCAAAATATTTTCCCGGGATATCCGACAACTCCATTTTTAGAAAAGAAGCAACAAATTGACAATGTTTTCTCGACTGCAGCTTCAAAACCTGTCCGCTGAAGTGTAAAAGAGGAATTTTAAAATAAAGTAATAGTCACTTAAATATGTACATGTTCATCTACAAGATACATGTACAGTGTATATATACTTGCATATATAAATCACTGAAATTGGCTTTTTACCTAATTTTTGCTGCAAACTAATCTTCATTCGGTGTGCAGATAACTGATATCTACAGATGCATGTACTTTTCAAAGTTGTCTTGGCGAATAATCATGCTGACGGGAGAAAAATAGTTTTGAAAAATCTTTCACTGCCATTGATCTTTATCATTACATGTTTTCCTTCCTCTGTGAACTAATATTGCCGGAAGGTTTGTGTAAATACAGCTATTGAAACACTTTGACATTGAAAAGAAAATTCAGGAAACGGAAATGAAACCTCGAAAAACTATAGTCAATAATGATAAATTCTAGTTTTAAATACAAGTTGATGTACATGTACGTTGTACTTTGAATATAATTTGGATTTTAGGGGAAGGGGATGTTGGTCTAAAAATCTTACGTCCGACTTATATGCGAGCCTTATTTTGAATAGAGAAATATATGGATCTGAGGGTCTTATAACTTGAAAAAGAACAATACCGTTAATTGGAAATTATATCCAAGTCATTTCTAACTATAGAAACGGAAGCGGCAAACCACGACCAAAATGTTCGATCCTCTCTCACTCTGGTCGTGCATGAATGAAAAAAAGTAAACTTCGTAGCTTATTGAAATATTGGCCAATGCAAGTGAACCATAGTCGGAATATGAACTTTTACGCGACCTATCAATATCACAGCTTGCCATATGTGGTTGTGTGGATAGATGTTAATGAGTTCATTTCTGAGGAGGGGGGTACTGAGTCTAATTTGGAGATAAATACCTTGTATTATTATTACACTATGGGTTAAAATTCATTTTCGAAACAAGTGCTTTAAATTTGTATAATATCCTCAAATCCATATATTACCCTATTCAAAATTAGACTCGCATATAACGCCGGCAAAAAGATTTTTAGACCAAAATTCAACCCCACCCCCTGCCCCCAAATTGTATTCAAGCAATTTTAGCTTATCTTGTTGACCCATGCCATTTTTCATTTCACATCAAAAAGGCCATGACCTGGCTTGCAGAATAAAACATGTTCTATATACAATATCATTTTTATGCTTCCCATATGAGCAAGTTTTAAGAATCCATTTATATACTTAGAGATAAAGTTCAAAGGTATCTTTTATTATACACAATTGCCTGAATGGATGATACACCTTGGACGTAGAAATTGCGTATTTGATGTTAGCATAAAAGAATCTTCTATATTGTGGAAAATTTTGAAATATTAGTGGAGATTAATGCAAAAATTCACACTTTGTAAGTTTACATTTTATTCCCCTCAAGTTTATTCATGGTCCAAAGTGTCAGCCGTCCACCGTCAAATGGTAAAGTTCCATCATTGGTAAAAACATTTTCCACTGGACTTAAAAACACCAACATATTTATACCCCCCGCTTGAAAAGCGGGAGGGTATATAGTAACCGTTATGTCCGTCCGTCCGTCTGTGCGTCTATCTGTCCGTCCGTCTGTTACGCTTTGGGGTACCCACCCAGGTAGCACAAAACATTTTCAAAACATTTTATTGGTGTTGTAAAAAGGTTTTTCCGAAACATTTCAGACTAAACATTTTAAAAACATTTTTAAAACATTTCCTCTTCTCTTTATAACATTTTTAAAACATTTTAAAAATGTTTTCAAGAAGCTTATGATTAAATCCTTTTCGAACATTTTTCTAAAATATTTTTGAAACGTTTTAAAAATGTTTCAAAAGGTAATGTTTAGCTTTCAAATATCAAAGATTTTTATATTACGTTTTAAAAACGTTCTAAAAACATGAAATGAAACATTCCTTTTCCATAAATCTGAAACATTGCATGAATACGTTTCTGAAACATTTGGAAGGAACGTTGTCAAAATGTTTTTGAAACATTCTTAATTCATTTAAGGAACATTTTTCTTAAAATTATTCTAAGGGTATGTATAGCTTCAAAATATTAAAGATCTTATAAAACGTTTTAAAAACGTTCTTACAACATGAAATGAAGCATTCTTTTTCATTGCCTATATGTTTCTGAAAAAATTGTAAGGAACATTTTTAAAATATTTTTAAAACATTCTTAATATCGCTGTTAGTTATAAACATTAAATTATATTTTTTCGGCCTAGGCAGTGAAAATGTTTATTTAAAACATTAACTAAAATAATTATTTTCACTACAATTGAAACATTTTAATTATAGTTCTTGTAACATTTTTTGGAAACATTTTCAAAATGTTTCTGAAACATTTATGTAATTGCGGCACAATTTAATTCATTTATTAACTTTAAGAGTATGTTGTGAGAATAATTTTAGAACATTCAATTTAATGTTTTTTCCTTTTTTAAAGACTTCATTTTTCACCGCTGCAACATTTTTTAATGTTATTTTCAAATAATATATGATTGCTATTTTCCTAAAATTTAGTTTATGAAGAAGAAAAAAAAGAATATATAGAAAGAATAGTGTTGAAATGAGGAATTGTAGTAATTTTTTAATTGAAAGATTTTTTCTGGTATTTTATAATGATTTCTAGTTTTGGCTTATTGATTAAACAGACATATATAAAGTCCTTTAATTAAAACAAATCAAAAAATTAATAAATGAAAGGATAGGTAAACACAAAATTTAAAATACACATTTATAAATAAATGTATAAAAGCATTTGATAAAACTCTTAATGTCTTTTTTTTTTAAAAATGTTCTTCATCAAATCTGTGATCCACTCCCAGAGTTTTACTCTGAGGCATTAGATATGGATTGGCACACTGGTCAGTTTCAGTGTCATGATAACCTATTATGCAATTTTCCTGCTGGGCAGCGCGTTACAGAGTATAGTGGTTTGCAGCTTATCTAGGCCAAATTTTGAATTCTGGTAAACAAGATGTGCGCGCTTACTCCGTGCCAATTTGAATGAGAAGACTTTAACCACAAAACCACAATAATAACCTCGGGATTTATTAACTTTGAATGGTAAGAATTATTCTTTTATCACATACCTTAAAAGATCATATAAAAATGACTTTTGTACTACCAGTGCATGATTAATAACTTTTTACAAAAGTATGTAGCATTAAGCAAATGACAAAGCGTTAAGGTTATACACATGTATTTGATTTGAATATTTCATTCTTTAGTCAACATACTTATATCCTTCATTCAAGTATTTGTTGTCTTTGTGAAATGTTTTAAAATCATTAAACAATATGTTGATTTAAAAATGAAATTTCTTGAGCATGGTGTTGATTGCATCATCCGTATTTTCAAATTCCCACATTCAAAAGACCCGCCTTTGGTGAAGGCAAAGGTGTACGTAAATACTATTACTCCTCAATAATATTGTCATAGTAATTATTTTTCTGCTTTTTTCGATGCAAATGAGGAAAGAACTTAAATTTGATATAATTATTTAAAATATTTTTTGTATATTTTCATTGATCATCTTAAGATACATTAGATGTAGAACGCTGATACAAACACAATTTTCCTTATCTTTACAGGTTGTGCTATTCTTTCCGAGGGGCAGATTCCTTATCAGCCTTTTCAGTGTATGTGATTCTAACTAAGTCTTATAGATCCGCCGCTCTGTTCGACCTATACTGTGAACATAGGATTTCTGTGATTCTGTTCTTTTAAAATTCAGTGAATGGATTAGACGCCGTTTTCGCCCTTTAAAAACCCGTTGACTTGAAAGAAAATAAATTAAAACTTGTACCGAGAATGGAATTTAAATGTGATTAACATATTGAATCTGGGTTTGTATTAAAGGTTCGAAAATTAAATATAATTTGTGTTTATTTCTTTTAAAATATAAATATATCATTATTTAATGAGAAAAGTAAAATTTCAGTAAAAATACTTTTGTAACCTCGACGTGGATGTTTTGAAAACTTTTTAAAAACCAAACGAATTAAAAGTGAAAAAAAAATTTTGAAAATGTTTTTGTTACATTTTATAACAATGTTATGATAACATTAGTTGAAATATTTTGTAAAATGTTTTAAAAACATTTAAAAAACCATACAAAATCACGTGATTACAACATTGTTCAAAAATGTTTTTGTAACATTTTAAGAAAATGTTCCAGAAACATTTGCTGAAATATTTCACTAAAATGTTTTAAAAACGTTTAAAAAACCATACAAATTCACGTGATTAAAACATTATTGAAAATGTTTTTGCAACATTTTAAGAAAATGTTCTGACAACATTTTGCTGAAATATTTCACTAAAATGTTTTTAAAACGTTTAAAAAACCATACAAAATCACGTGATTAAAACATTTTTGAAAATGTTTTCGCAACATTTTGAAAATGTTTTTAAAACATTTTAAAAATGTTTTTGTGTTAGCTGGGCATCTCTTATCCGCATCTCCTCTCATACCACTAAATGAAATTTGATGAAACTTTCACAGAATCTTTATTACATATTCCCATTGTGCACTTCCTATTTTACTTTTTAATCTGACTCATATTTTGGGTTTCCCACAACAAAACATGGACACTCCCATTATATTCATATGGGAGGCGGGGGTATCATTTAGTGAGCTCATTGCTCACAGTACCTCTAGTTTATTTAAGTTCTCAGTTAAAAATACATTTGACAAAGGTTAATCCACAATAAGTCGGAATTTGTAGTACTTCTGTTTTGAAATAAAATAAAAACATACACTTGCACACTCACAAATAATCAGGGATTATTCCTTGAGTTCCTTTAAATGTGGAAAGACACTTGGTCCATTATTTCCAATGCAACGAAACAAACTAAAAATTCAATGAAGAAAAGTTGGAACAAATTCAGACAAATGCTAACGAACATTAAACATTCAACACACACACACACACCTTCTCTCTCTCACACACACACATACACACACACACCCTCACACACAGAGAGAGATTAGACTTATACAATTATCACTAGTTCAATGATACATTCTTAACGGTCCGTTAAGGGACAATTGTTTGATTATGATAGGGGTACTTGCAGATTTTGTAAATAAATAATCTGCTCTCGAAAATGTTAAAAACAAATACTTATAACCTGTAACCTAGAAAGAAATTAAATAACATTTCCTTTATAAGTGCTACCTCTCTATGAAATACAGCTTTGGAATTTTGTGACTTTTTTGAAAGAGAAAATAAACAATCTTTCCTCGTCTATTTTCCTGGAAATAAACAAACTGTCCTTCGCAGACATGAAAACTAGTATGACTCGGAAAAATTGTTCCTTTCCACCTCAGAATCAATGGTCGTCCAATTATGAATGTCAGAGAATCCAATGAATAGAACAACTACCAAATACTGTTCAATTTTTCAAAAAAAAAAAAAAATTAAAAATCATTTTTTAATAAATTATGTTACTTCACGTACTCACATAGTCTCTGAAATTGTTTCGATTTTCTTGGTACATGTACTTGGGGGGAGGGGGTTGTTACATTCTAGGTTGATGCGAAACTTGCATTGTAGATCAATGTTGAAAAAATTAACACTATTCTATTTTTCATGTGGCTTATTTCATCTCCATTGCCTTGATCAGTTTATTCCAATCACAATCATCTACAGCATCAAGGTAGGTTATAGTCTTAAGACTTAGGTGCAAACCATTGATGGTACGACAGATCGGGATGACTAAATTTTCCGATTTTCCGTCGTTCATTCTATGGAGAGCATGGGTCAACTCATAATTACATTCAGGATAGTCTTCAAATTCTTTGCGCAAAACTACAAGTATCTTAGGACAGTTCTGAATGAAGGATATGCGTTCAAATAAATCCTTGCAACCTGGAAGCGCATCCCTTTCCGCTACGGCACCTTTATATCCATATGATATTTCCAGAGTTTGCAATAACACATGACAAACCCAATCTCTATCAAGTGGGGAAAAGATGACGTAGAAATCGTACGGGTATCTTATATTTCTGGGGTTTTCGGGTGGCACCGGAAAAGCCGAGAGTTGTCTCCTAAATCCAACCTGCGATTTACATTTGAAACAGAGAGGAACGCCCTCTACATTTTCCTTAGACGTCTTTGACTTCTCTCGGGTCTCAAACCGTGTAAAATTCTTCTGTACCATCTCATTCCATTTTTCAATTTTTTCAGGCTCAACTGTTGAAGTTATCAATTCCGATATATTTTTTCCATTGAATTGCATCGAAGGGTCGTTCCTGTAATATTGAAAGTACCCTGTCAAATCTGACATTTCTACTTCATAATCCTTAAGAAACCATTTTGTTTCATTTATCAATTGTCCATGCTTTATTAAGGCCACACCGTAGAAGTACGCCATTTCGTGCAGTAATTTATAGATTTCACTTTCATCTTTTTGACCCAAAAGAACATATCCTTTATAAAGCTGGAGAAGTGTTTCAAATAATTGAGTGAAGCTCTCCGTTGCTCTGTTAGCGGTATCAACCTCCATTGCTCTTTTAAAACATTCTATAGCCTCTCTAACTTCTCCAATTTCGCGTAAGAATCTGCCGTAAGCGCGATGTATTTCTGGCCTTTTCTCCTGTCTAAGGCTTTGAACTGCTCGTAAAAAACATCCAGAGGCTTTCAAAAGAAATTTATCTGCCATTTTTTCATTCGTTTCCTTGCATGACTTGTATTTCTCGTGATACGTTTTAGCCAATTCACAAAGGTGATGTGAAGTTGCGTTCCAAGAGCATGCTATTTCCCTATCCTTAATTGCTTCATCTATTCTACCCAATTTGAATAAGATATCTGCTCTTACTGTCCAAGCAAACCAATTTCCTTCGCTATCATCATTTTCCAAAGACTCGTCAATTTTCTCCAAAGCTTCTTCATATCTTTCCTTAAATTTTAGGAACATTGCGTATCGAATAAGAAGTTCAGTAGATGGTTTTAATTTTTTGCATAATTCTTCGTTTGCGTTCAACACGCACTTAAGACCTTTCTTAAAACAATCTTCAGGAATTTCTAAAAACTCAAACAAATCCAGATTTTTTAAATTGTCTTTGATGTCATCATCCATTTGCTCAATGGTTTTTATTTTCCATTTTCCAGTCTCGTCCCTAATTTTTCCTCTTCTAGACAGGAAAAGACCAAGAAACGCCCATGCTGTGGATACAAATTCCTTGGTAAGCTCTCCCTGTATTCTTAATCCCGTAACTTTTGCCAATGCTTCGATACCCTTCATGTAGTATTCTTTTTCCATTGCTTCCGTTCCTTTTCGTCTTGCACACTGGGTAAGAAGACTGTAGTATGTCTTTCCCAACCAATAGTTTATCTCTATGACAACGTCTTGTCGGCCACTTTTTTGAAGCTTAACGAGACTCTGAACAAGGAGTTCTTTTGGTACTTTATTCCTTTCCATTACGTCTTTCTCTACATGACAATCAAAGATAAATGCAAAAGCTTGATCAGCTAGCGAAATCCCTTGACTTTCGGCATCGTCTGATGCAAGTTCAAATGAATACTTTTCGAAATTAGAACTTAGCTTTAATCTCTGATAAACAAAAGCAAGATTTGCTGAGGCAGTTATTGAATTTGGATCGATTTCATGAACCTCTTGAAATGTTTCAACAGCTTTCAAGTATTGATTGTTATAGAAATAGCACGCTCCAAGTAAATTTCGGGAGGCTTGACGTGAAAATCCCTCGGGAAATTCCCGAATTAGCTTTTCCATAACTTTTATTCTGTGTGTCAGAAGCTGGGCTGGTGGGTTCTGTGAGATATTTAAAGATAGATGAAAAAGTCCGGGTCTTTCTCCATACTTTCTCCAAATGTCTTTTTGATTGGAATCCATAACTGAAATTGAAAAGAAGAATTCTTTTACTCTACATTCTTTCCACCCCTTACTTTTCCTACTAGTGCTTACAGAGGTGAGATTTTTATCTAAGTATTTTGTTTAAATTTTGTGGTTTACATAAGAAATATTAACTTTCTGATAAATATGCATTAGTACAAAAGACAAGTATACGATTAAAGATACTTTCAGCCGCTATAATAGTGAGGTAAATGCATTTTTTATGAAGTGCATATTTTTGTACCCCGGTCCCATACTGCATTTCGTTATTTTAAAGACTCGGATATTTTTGTGACCAATGTGAATAACAGAAGTATAAACAAATATTCTTTTCTGTGTTCATAAAATTGATGAAACAACATTTTATCCAGTTTCTAAGTGGATGGCAAGCTAGATTTAGCGATTCGTCAACACCACCAACTCCGACATTGGTGTCAAAAATACAAAATTCGGTGTCAAAAATACAAAATTCATGTCGCAGATTCTTTAGTAGAGGGGCATTCTGGATAGCGATTCGTCAACGCCACAATTTCCAGGACTACAAACAATTCGGGTTGCAGAAAAGTACAGTCTATCATTCAAACAATTAAGGCAGATTACAGGTAAGGAGATCAAGATATTTCTTCAAACAGTTACAGACAATATGTGGCATATTCATGATTTGCGATGCAAACGCAAAAGTCATGGGACACTAAAGGGAATCTAGACACTTTGAATGAAACAGAATGTGGTAAATTTAAGTTAGTCGACCGCGTTTTTATCCTCTCTTCCTTTCCTTAAAGGTCAGGCGATACTTTTTTTTCAAATACCATTTTGTATCTTAAAGTTGTGTATCACTTTAAAAAATTCAAAATCATAATTATTTTGTGACCTGATTATCCTTAAAGCTTCAAAAGGCAAAAATTTCGATGCATGCAATTTAGTCATTGGAAAAAGTTTATATTTTTGAGGCACGTTCAACGTTTTTGAACCTTTTCAAAACCCAGAAATATTTAAGCCTACATTGTAGACTGAGCAGCAGACATGAATTGTAAATAGTTTTGTGAAAGAAAAGATGCAGAACAAGTAACATTTGTGAATGAAGAGCTAGTCATCAAAATTGAACAAATATTATAAATGTTGGAGCATGTCCCATCAGAAACTTCCAGAATATATATACTGAAATACCAGCTTTGTTCAGGAAATTGGTATAAGAAATACTTTAATTAGAAGGGAAAAGAGGGGTTATTAGTATACACTTGAAATATTTGCCCCCTATAGATCAGGATATGCCAACGATCTGGCGTTGATAGCCTGCAAATATAGTGTAATGCAAGAAAAGACTGACTAGCAGATTAAGGGGACGACCATTTGATTCTGAGGGGGGGGGGGGGGGCCTGGCAAATTTTTTTGAGACGGATTATTTATTTTCATGCCTGTCAAGGACAGATTATTTATTTTCAAGATTATCGAGGACAGATTATTTATTTTCTTCTTTGTCTTAGGGTACCTTGATCGATTGATTCTAAAAGACTTATCATTTATATACCATAGGCGGATTCAGGATGGGGGGTGTGTATAACTTCGTTCAAGCAAGAGGTCTGGGGACGGGTTAAGGCCCCCAGTGGGTTCTGGGCGAAGCACTGGTGGAGGCCAAGGGAGGGAAATTCCCTAGAAGCTCTTGGGTTTTCGGGTATTTTAAGAGTAAAACCAGGACAATTAGAGTGGTATTGGTTATTATATAGCAAAGTATGACATTATTAATATTGGTCATATCATACTTTGAATGAAGGGGGTCCAGGGGGCGAAGCCCCCTGAAGCTCGTGGGTTTTTGTGTATTTCAAGAGTAAAAGCAGGCACAATTATGTAGGAATTGGTTAGTTATGTTCCAAAGTATGACATAATTAATACTAGTCATATCATACTTTGAATGAAGGGGGCGCAGGGGGCCAAGCCCCCTGAAGCTCTTGGGTTTTTGTGTATTTTAAGAGTAAAACTAGGCATAAAAATATTGGTATTGTACTTAAAGCATGGCAATATTAATATAATTCATATCATACTTTGAAATTTTAGGGGAGGGTCATACACATGTATGCCTTCCTTAAATCCGCCACTGTATACTTTGTATTAATTTATCGGGAAGTATAATTCTTTGAAAAGAAAATCTATCTTTTGTGGTGTTTAAGAATTGGCTTGTTTTTAAAGTGACTCATCACATCTACTGAGTGCTCATTGTCATGTTGATCAACTGACTACAAGTATCCAGTCTGGTAATCTGATTTTAAATATTATTTGGTTCTAAAATGGCGAGCGAAGCGAGCCCAAAAAAAATGCTGAATTGAAGATTCTGAGGTTAAATTACACGGAAATAAAAAGGTATTTTCACAATATTTAAATATCATAAGTCAAGGTCAGATTATTTATTTTCTTTGCAGAGGAGGACAGATTATTTATTTTCAACATTTTCAGGGACAGATTATTTATTTCCAAAATCTGCCAGCCCCCCCCCCCCCCCGAATCAAATGGTCGTCCCCTAAATGATGTCGCGAAATACTGATCATGAGAGAGACACAACACATTAACATAAATAAAAAAATGATTAACGTCATTTCCTTGAAAAGCATGGAAGATATTAAACCCTCATCTTCTTCTGTTCCCCATTAAACAAGACAGGAGGAACGTTAACTTTAACAGAAGCAGGCATGAGGAAAGATTAGTTTTAGCCAGAAGCTGACAAGTTTGAAGTCAGCACAGCACATTACAAGAATTAACCTGAAAAACCTCGAAACAAGTGTAAAATCTGTATTGTTGCATTGTCCCAAAATCTGGAAAACTACCGAAACATGATGAAAGGCTAGTTACATGACTATGCATTGTTCGTAAATGTGACCCTCCCTATAGTTTTTCTTGTAATATATAAACGTAGATAAGCACTGCAAACTTTTGCAAGTGTTTCGATAAGCTCCCTTTCATTAAAAAAAATCTTTATTTGCCAGATCATTCACTCCAAAAATTATCAAATAAATTTCCTTTGACTTGTACTGGTATATCTACAGTAGAAGGCTTTTTTTTTTCTTTTAGGGTAAGGTTATCTTTAACACTTTTTAAAAACTCTTTCTTATCTTGATTAGCATTCTACGAGGGATGTTCTAAAAGTTCGTGGACGATGTCAGTATTCGTTAAACTATTCAACAAGAAATTTAAAAGAAGCACAATATCATGTGTAAAAACATTTCATTGATGTGTAAAATTTCATTCCACTCAATTTTGTTCATTTTAAAATCAAAATGTTTTGTAACCACGGAGCATACTTAACCTCAATGTAACGTCAAAAAAATAGCGTCAAGAATTTCTCCAAAAAAATCCCTATACGTATATTCTCCACTATAATTGATATCGGCAATATCTAGGTCAAATGACCAATAGGTGATTAAACCACGATGAATAGCTTGTATCGATCGAGTAAAATGACGAAATCTGGTGGGTGAAAATTATCAGTATTTCTCTTAATTAACCCAAAAAGGCATTCTCGTCTTTTTATTGTCTATAAAATCGATGTGTAAAGTTTCAAAGTTAACAGAAAGCTTAAGTAATACAGATATAACAAAACTTTGCACTATTCATACTCACTTATTAGCATGAATCGAAAATGCAAGTTCGGAGATCGACAATATGGCAGGTTTCTAAAAGAAAAAAACCCTTGAATATTATCAACAGAGGGTTACGTACTCACTGTTATGTTGAATTAGTTGTGAATATCAAGAGCTTGACGTACTCTGATAACCATAAAATCCTTCATGTGGCACACGACGTATGTCCTCAAACTTAGGACAAAAATGAAAGTCGGTGTAAATAATCCTGCCCTCTTCGAATTGAAAACATTAAACGCATATGTTAATTATAAACAAGAGTGAAAGTCGAGAAATAAAAATATCAGTTATCAAAACAACTGTTGCAGTTTTCCTTTTAGGGGAATTCCAATAGCTTGAAATATGGTTGTCTCCCTTGTAACACAGCAAGTGTATAACAACAAGTTGTCATCTTTTAGAGAAAAGAAGAGACAAGAATAGGTGAATCATAGCTAAAGGCGTGTGTTTCTATCACAAACATAACGAATGAGTGAATAATGTATAACCGGAAACAAAATTTAACAGCCACCACAAAAAATGCAGGCAAGGTGTCAAAATTACTTTAACTTATGTCATTTGATATTAATTAAATCAAGGCCAAATATCTCATTGATATTTCTCGTCACAAATATGTCAGGAAACCAAGTTTTTGTGTTATTTTGAAAATTTCTTATTTTTGAAGATCTGTGAAATAAAAAGTTTATGTAAGAAATAAAGACTTTCTTGATAATATTCAATTTACTGAGTTTTAATTCTTACTTAAATGACTTTAAGTGTTACCTTAAATGACTCTTAATTAACTAAGTTATGGCCATGACTGATGATAAAAAAATATCAAGCATACCGGAAGTGTATATTAAGAAAAAAATTTAGTTTTGCCGATAAAAAAAAATATTAAAATATCTGTATAACAAATACATGTAAGTAAAAAAAATCGAAGTTCAAAACAGTATATGATACATGTATACCATTTGCTGTAAATGTAAAAAAAAATCAAATAAATCACAGCAGCATAAACGAAAGTCAAGTACATAAATCTTTGCATTTCCAAAAATGTCAGGCTTGCAACATTTAATGTTTTGCCCCCTGACTTGGAAATCTTTTATCAGTTAACCATTATCTGCCTCCTTTTTTTTCTTAAAAATAGCCCAAAAATAAATCGTTCAATTACGGACCTGTATGTGTTTCAGAATGATCCATATCTCTACGATCGAGGGTGCAAAGATCCAAGTTTTATTTAAAATGCAAAAAAAAAAAAAAAATCCTTATCGTACTTATAAGTATTTTTTCATCAAAAATGATCAATTTGTTTTGATACTTTACACTGATTCTCAAATTATAGTCTCAATTCGCTTTAAATAATGTACCGTGTTTTAAGTAATATAAATTTTCTAATAAATTTTATTTTCTGCCAGTCATATGAACCATTGTTGGTTGTTGATTAAAATACAACAATTGTTTGTTGTAACTTGAATGATTGTCTCAGGCGAAAATCGCATTTTTTAGCAGAAATCGATATTTACGTTACTGTCGCCTATCATAGTGAAGTTTTTATTTTAAACCAAAAAGAAGTTGTAAATCACTTACATATCTTTTTCTTAGCAAGATTGTCCTACATTTGAGTTATATTTTCTGAATATCACAGCTTTCACACATATGCGTGTCACAAATTTTTAATAAAAATTTTAATATATATTTCTCAAATTTTGATGTCACCGCAAAATCATTACTTTTCTATTTGGAAATTCAAAAGTACTTGAAGGATTGCTGAATTGACTCAATGGGATTAAGTTGTAACTTTTTAACATCATGAACACCTCTTATATTGCATGGAATGGTAAAAAAAGAAACTGGTTATCTGTATTTATATAAAATAGCCCCCCTTTTTCTTATGAGTCCAATGGTTAAAAAATCCATCGATATTTACGTGTTAGTATTTATTCACAAATTAAGTAAGACAACTACACTGTTTCCTATGGGTCAAATTGCCTTACACTCAAGCACTAGAATATGCCTTTAATTAACAGTGGAATAATTAAACAACAGCATTAAAAGTTACGATAAATCTCAGAAAGATATTTACGTTACCGATATTTACGTTACCAATATTTACGTTACCATGTTTTAAAGTAAATTAAAATTAAAATCTAAAGCTGTATGAACAGATTTGCGAGTGAATTTTAATGATTTAAAAACTTAAAACATGAAGAAATACACTGTTTCTTTAAATGGCATTATTTTCTGTAGAAAGAGTGCAGAAATGCAAATGAAAGTGCACATGCAAAGGTGACCTTTTTTACACAATATATTGTGCATCCGTGTGATTTGAAAATTGAATTGATATACGAGTAATATTATTCACAAGTAGAATTGGGGTTTGTGATCGAATGTTTCCATTTTGAGCAATTGGTTAATATTGCATAGTTTTAAGTGTAATGCACGTTATCATTCAGAACGCAAATCTGAACCAAAACTTTCTTAAAGTTTGTATTTTGCTGTTTGTTTGAACTGATAGTGTATCATCAACTTAAAAAAATTGTAATATACACTTAAATTGTATACCAAGCTAAATATTTTGAAGAAGAAAATATCATTTTTCGTAGGAAATATAATTCCACAGAATAGGCGCTGCGCTGCATTGGGTGGGTGGGGGGGGGGGGGGGGGGGGCTTCCACATCGGGTTAAAGAAAAAAGACGGCTGTGGGTGTTGGGTGTCAAGAAACTGGTCGAAATTGAATCCATTTCCATTTCTGTTGCTTTGCAAGAAATACATGTATTAAATTGTGCACCTGATTTTTCCCATTTAAATTGTTGCTTAGGCAAACATGTAGAACTTAGAACGTATGCGTCTATGCTTTAATGGTACTGAAAATTCAATTTACATTATATTAATCAAAAAATAAACAACGTTATTCAGTGAACATGGCGTTATGAATAGCAATTGCTCTGCTGGCATATTCCGTGCATCATGGAAAATATGCCAGCAGAGCTATTGCTATTCATAATGCCATGTTCACTGAATAATCGTTGTTTATTACTTATATTTGCATTCTTTGATTTTTTTGCAAGAGTATCAGAGGAAATCCTGACTTACATAAGGACGCAGCTTCTTGTCTTCAGTAAAGAAAAACATACGGCTTTAAAATCAGTAAACCTGATTAATGCTCCTTTTCTCTAATAAATCACAAACAATTTATAAAGTATTTCCCTCTCAAACACAGTTATCTGGATACAAGCAGCGCTGTCGTCACATTTTTGTTTTGATAACGTTATTAAAACCCTCTGACAAAAATCAATAATTTAACACTATGATGAAAAATGAGAATGCTTTTACAATGATTACCGGTATTACTCCAGAGTGCTTTTCTATAATTTTTTTTTAGTTTTTCTATTTATTTTTAATAGCTGAAATCATTCTTGAAATAGATATAGTAGTTATTCTGAATGTTATTACCCAAGTGTGAAGAGTTATCGTTCTTCGTACAAATATGCCCGATACGAAAAAATAAAAATATGGCAGTTCTCTTTAATTTTAAAAAGTTTTATTATACAATTAAATACATTGACCAAAATTGAATTTTTAAAGATATAAATCAGCAATTTTAGATATTCTGAATTTCCTTTTTTTCAAAGAATATCATTAAAAACTTATTTTTATTCCTCTTATGAAATATTTCATATATATACTTCTCAACACGTTTTAAAAGTGTAGAAGAGATTGTTCTACACGAGTGTGATAGAGCAATTGCGCTCATAGTGAAAGCAATTGCGTCTATAGTCCTTTGAACGCAGTTGCTGACTACATGTTCATAGTGGGAGAGAGCAATGAATATGCAACTATATAGAGGATATTCAATGTTTTGTAGTTGAATATGGAATTTATTTCACTCGTGGGACAGGATTTTTGATATTTTCACGCTTCGCACTCGTGAAAATATCAAAAAATCCTGTCTCACGAGTGAAATAAATTCCATATTCAACTACAAAACATTGAATTTTCTGTTTATTACATTTTTAAAAAAAAATCTATGATTTTCCTTTTGCCTCTGTCTTTTTGTAATACATTCATAGGCTACATGACGTCATAGTTGAGCGGTTGAGACGTCATAGGTAGTGAGGTGAAAACACTGTAAACATGGATTTATCGACATATTTTTCGTAATTTTGACAGTTTAATCCCCTATAAAAATGGTTTATTTATTTCAATCTATCTTATATTAGGTCAAGGAAGATTATTTTACAACAATCTTCGTTATGGGAAGAGAAATCGAGAGTTTTCCCGCACTTCTGATATTCGTCACACTGTGACAGGATATCGTTTTGATATCCTTTCACACTGTGACAGGATATCATTTTTTATTCAATAAATAATTTACAGTATTTCACGGGTAAAAATGTAATAATGTAGATTATTATACTTTCATGTTAAATACTAAAATCTGATTGGTTTAGACGCAGTTAACAATCCGTTCGATTACCCTGAGCCTTAGCAACACACGTGACAACGGGTAACACAACGGTAATGCCACATGCGTGGAAATTATGCGCGTACGGTTCACCGTAGAATTCTCAAAACGTCAGTTGCGCGTTTGAAAGAACCGGAATTAACTTGACGTCAATAAAAGCTTGCGTCCGATAAAGCTTACTTGAAAACAACAAACGACAGACGATACATGCTTACGAGTGTAGGAGACATGCTTGCGAGCCAGAAATAACGAAGCTTTATATGATAAATGACTCTAATTCGAGTATCAAACAAACAATAAGGAGATTAGTGAACCGGTGAGTGTGAAATCTTTCTATACATGAACGTAAAGACGATCGACGGTTTTTTTTTTTTTTTTTTTTTTTGCTGACGTCCTTAATCAATAAGACATTCAGTATAATAAAATAAATGGTGCCTGTTTTGGAGGGTAACATTTGAAATTGACACCCCTCGGAAAACCATTGTCAACCTCCGCTGACGCGTCGGTTGACAATGGTTTTCCTTGGGGTGTCAATTTCAAATGTTACCCTCCAAAACAGGCACCATT